TTATTAGCCGTGGCAAATCTAATAATATTGTACTTGACTATCAAAATTTGTTATATTTGATATTAGTTTGTTTAATAGGAAAAATTACTTCATTTGATATTAATTTGTTCAATAGCATGACTACAAAAATAGATAGAAAGAAAGAAATCGTATTTTGAAATTGGGAATATTTAGGGAAGTTTTTTTCATTAAAATTAAAGTTTCTTTCAAATAGTTAAAATTTCTAACGAATGACTAAATTATTATTAATTTGAAAATTCGAGGACCAAATCGTTACTTTTAAAAATCTATGAACTAAATAGAACTAAATCATTACTTTAATGAAAATATAGGGATCAAATCTGTATTTTAACCAATTTTAAATAATTTATAGGAGAGAAATTTATCAATTTTCTTCGAAAAAATAAAATATCAGATTTTAAAAAGAAACTAAAATAAAAACTATAAAACTAAGAACTATTTTGTCGGGATCAAATAATTAAAGATTAAAATTTTGTTGTTATTATTATTATTATTATTTATCTTTAAACACTTTATGGACAAACTTAAAATTCAATAAATGACATATGATTTTAATTCATTTTAAAAGATAGTGCATATATATGTAGCTGATAAGTTAAATTATTTTCGAAGACAAACGTTCTCTTAGTAAGTTAATGTTAAAGATAAATAAACCACCATTAAGGAGGAAACAACAAGGTTCGAACATAAGATCTCCGGCTCTAATATCATGTTAATGATAAATAAACCACCACATTCAACCCAAAAGCTTAACCTTATAAGTTGGATAAATTTAATTTATATATATAGATTCTCAACCGCTAAGAACATATATAAGAATGTATAGAAAAAAACATATATAAGAATATTATATAATTTCAAAGATACTATTATATTAATATGAAATTTACGTCGTACCACTATATGACTATAATTTGGGTACGAGAGCGCATTGTCTCAAATGCACGTGTACACATGCACGACTCATGGTTAGTTCAAGACGCTTTAGTTCTATCGAATCACGATGACATGCATCTATACCTCATAATATAGTTTCCTAAATTCAAAAATCACACAATGTTATGGTACAACCCCACGGTTTTATTGAATAAAACTTTACAAAGAATTCTTCCTAGGCAAAAATAATATAAATAATATGAACAATTCAATAAATGAAAGAGAAAATTAAAGAGAAAATTTGAAAATTTCAAGTATTTTTCTTTTCTTAATTTCCCATTTAGGACCGCAACTATTGATTTTGCCTTGGTCAGCTAGCTTGGATTTCTTCTCTCATCAAATTTAAAACCCTAGATAGATAGCTAGATGGGAAAATATTTCACTATTCAAAAACTATTTTTTGCCCAAAAAAAAATCATATTATACAAAAGGTATTTGGAAAATCATACACACAATTATATATAATACGTACGATGAGAAGGGGATTTTTCTTTTCTCACCAAATTATCAAAAGGATAATTATGAATTGAATATTTCTATACAATTATGTGAAAGAGATTTCCAACTTAATAGGTCTCGTGTAAATTTAAATACATTTATATTATTCTATTAAAATGAAATGATTGTTAAATATGCTTTAACTTTATTTTTTATTTTTTAGCATTACTTTATAAATTATATTTGGTTAATTGTCATAAGATTAGTCCTACAAAATTTGAGTAACATAGGTTGCTGAATTGGCATGATGAGACCAACAATAGATAAACAATGAGTATATGTCACATCAATATTTCGTTAATTCATGTTAACTATATACCGACTAAATAAAAATATGATTTAAAGTTTAGAGACTAAATTGATGATTTAAGTTAGAAATGAGGATCCAAAGAAAAATAGAAAAAAAAAAAGTCTAGAAGATGAAGAATATTTTCCTTTTGAGAATATTACTATTTCAAATAATCCTTTGAAGAGAATTAAGGCAAGGCAATTGTAAAAACATTGATTCCATGAGTTGACAAATTCAAAAAGTCATGTGGATGTTTCTAAACCAAGGTTGTAAAAGGGTCTCTCTACATTATTGTTCCTTTTCAAACCAAAAAGTCCATATTTATTAGGTATTCTCATCATCACTTTTTCAAAGAGATTTAATTTATATACATGTTGATCCTCCAAAAACCCAAAATGTCTGTCTCAAAAGTTCAAGATTTCAACGGCAAGAAAAACCCATTCTTTTTTGTCAAGTGAATAGTTTGACAATATTTATTAAACACATGTCCTTTTTTTATAATATGGAATCGATAGCTATTTACTTTTTTCACCTTTATAATTGGAACACCCACATTCGTCCTGAGGTCCGAACCTGAGAGAAATCAATATTTAATTTATAGGTAGGTGATACCACAAGGTATCATGTCTTTGTTGATGGACCGTATCTTGAGATAAATATAAACACATTTTATTTTAAAATAACTATTTTTCTTTTGACAAACTAAAAGAGTTTAAACCCATTGATATTGTTGGTTGTTCTAGATCAACTAGCGAAGTTGATATATTCTCTTGTATTAGTTGGTAAGAAGTTGGCAAGTTAGACAATTTTTTTATTGAAATATGTGATATATTTGTTCAAGGAAAAAAAATAATATTAAAGTATTGTAGTAGTTCAAATGGATAGATAATATTTTATATGGATAGTATATTTGTTTGTTTATTTATTTATTATTATTATTATATTTTTTTGTCTTTTGAAATTTAAACATGTTGAAAACCAAATAGAGGGAAAATGAGAAAAAAAGAAAAGACAAGTAGAAGAAGAAAGACGATAAGTCAACAAAACTTATAAATGATATAACTTTTTTTAAAGAAAATTTATAGCTTATGTTGATTTTGGTAGTATTATCCTTTATCATTTATCATTTTTTTATTTATCATTTTTCTTCTTTTAGAAAAAAATTACTCGGTGATAATACATACTATTGAGATGAGTAAAGTTAAAAAAAAAGTTAGTTATAATAATAATAATGGCTCGAGCATCTACAATCAATATATTTTGTTAAAACGATCATAGATAAGCCGTAATTGACATATATTTTCAACTAAGAGAATGTGAATTCGATCTCTCTCCACCTGATCTCCAGTTGTATACTAAAAAAAGAAAAATCAATAAATAAATAAATATATATATATGGGAAAGCATATATAATCAATAGTTATTAAATATCTTAATAAACATTTATAGCTATAAAAACGTAATATCTACAACAAATACAACCCTACCAAAATATCTTGTACTACCCTACAAATGATGGGAGAAAATGAGTGGTCCAAAATAACTTGAAAGAGATATTACCTAAGGTTAATTATTGAGCCACGTATATCAATTTTCAATATTACAAATATAATTAATATCTCATTTAACATACAATTTAATTAATAGATAAAGTATCTAATTTACCTCTTCTTTTTTAATCTATTTATACATTTTCTAAAGTTGAAGAAATTCAACTTTTTTTTAACTCATTTATGTCAACCAGTGACGAGTTTGGATATTCACCCCATAAGTTGTATTGAAAAAAATTAACTCGCATGAAATTTAGTTATAATTTTGAAATAGAGAAAATATATATGATAAAAGAAAAAAAAGTATACTTTATGAGTCATCAAACTTCGATAATTTTCATTTTATCTCATTAAACAATAGCTTAAATAAGTTCATTAATATATATTATTGCCCTCAAAACTAAAATAAGCTAAAATGTTGTTCGTCAACAAATAATTAACTCGAAATCTAGCTTAACAAAAGCACCTAAAATCCAACTAAACTCACTAAAGAACTAAAACTTGGCCCATAAACAAATAGGGGAAAAAATCAAATTTAACACCAAAATATACATAAATTCCAATCAAAACAAAAGCTAGAACACGACCACAAAATTAGCATCTATATAAATATAGTTTTGCCTCGTTATTCAAGAAAACGCTTGTACTCAATCACAAATTTTCTAAGAATAACACGTGAACTAAATGTATGGTCACAGTGTTAAGGATCTCACATTGAAAAGATAAAACAATATCTAACAATATTAATTAAATGTATGAGTTACTTCTCTCACTGTCAATTGATTTTAAGATGGAACAACTCTATAAATCTCGATAAAAATATATTAATTTTGACTTATTTTATTAAATATAAAGACAAAAATGTGTTAAAGCAACATGTATAGAAATTAAGACGAAATTGAACAATCCAAACCCAATAGCAGTATTGTCTTTTGAGACAATTTTGTTTCCTCTATGGTGGTTAACCACACGAAGAATTGTCTCTAAAGATAAGACAGATTATCAATCTGTGAGTGTAGCACTCCAATCATAGGACTTAACGAACATCAATATTTAAGTAATCGTTCAGAGAGAAACGAGGATAAGAATTTTGAGGGAAGAATTTTTCTATACTTCAAAACAAAAATACATATAGACTATTTGTAGTCATTCAAATAATAGAGTATCTTTTGTTTAAAAATACGCTCTCTCATGAAAAGTTGGGGTTCTGATTTAATATTCAAAATAATTATTTCATAAAATGAGACAAAATGAACTTTTTTTTTTTGCATATAATATAATATAAGAGTAATTCTTTGTTTAAAATATATATATATATATATATATATATATATATATAAAAGAGTAATTCTTATGAAAGTGAGACCTGATTAAATATTATATAATTTGTTGTCAATTTGTTGGCAATAAATTAGGGTTTTAAAGTCAAAGATACAGCATCTTCTTTCTACTTGAAATGATATTATTAATTATAATTTTTCTACAATGGGTTGCTCTGACCCAATCCAATCCACACAACACAACGGTCAACTTCCTTCATCTCCAAAAAAACTAAAACTCTCTGTCTCTCTCTCCATCTTTCTTCTATAATTATAAAAATCATTCATCCCTTTCATTAAAACCCCAAACCCCATCAAAACCCACTTCTAAAAATTTCTCCTTTTTGCTCTGATTTTGTTCTTCAGAGCCCCCAAAAGCCTCCATTAATGGCAGGAGGAGAAGCTCCTTCCACTAGGGTTGTGATTATTGACACCAAATATGTGCACACCGATGCCAAGAGCTTCAAGACGGTGGTGCAGAAGCTGACCGGGAAGGATCCGGCAGCAGCAGCGGAGGAGGACAGACGTAGCGGCGGTGGCGGGAGCGGGAGCTCGAGTCTTACGAGAGACTCGTCGTTTAAGGAGTTCCAGAGAGTGCTGCGAGAGATGGCCAAGAGTTGATGAGCTAATTTTTATTCTGATTGAATTGAATATATATACTAATTGAGCTCTTCAGATGAACTTTGTTTGCTTAGAATTATTTATATTTTAATGATAGATAATTCTTTTATTTTTTGTTTGTTTGTTTGTTTTTTACCCTTTTTTGTTTTGTTTATGTACATGTGTGATTAATTAATACATCTGTTGTCTATGAACATCAATAACCCTAATTGATTTTTGTTTTGGGAAAATACAATGGTTGAGTGTAATTAGTTGGTGTCTTTTTTTGCTTGATTATGGCCTTTTAAAAGTCTAAAATCTTCCTGAAGTATTTTAGAGAGAGGGGGGAAAAGTGCTTTTAACTGCAACAGTGTTTCAATTTAATGATTTACAAAGTTTAGGATAATAATTTGATGAAAAATTTGGATTCTATAATGTTCTCTATGAGCCTAGTTCAAATATATAAAACAGATATATCATCCTAAAAGTTAATAGTTTGATCCCTCGATAAATTAGAAAAGAAAGAAAGAAGGGAAGAGAGGGAGAGGGAGAGTTCCATTCAAGTTGATTTGGCCATTAAAATTAGGGGTCCTGTCTGTTTTCTAGAAGGGAAGAGGAGGGAGAGCGCTCTAATTAATTGCATTGCGCTTTTCTTTTCTTTTGATAATTGAGAGTCGAGTTTTGCTCTTTTATACCTAAGACTGCGGCACCATTAAGTTCACTAGGAAGTACAAACTTAGACCTCTAAGTCGATATGACTAAGGAAATTTCAAATCTTTGCCAACTAGTTTTGTCCCTTCCGCCCTAATTGGATTGCTCTTTTCAAGCCCTTTTTTTTTCCTCTTAGAACTTTTCAAGCTGATTTAGCCAAGACAAAAAAAAGTAATAATAAATAGGTCCCTATCATGTTTAATGAAGGAGAGGAGAGACAGAGCTCTTAATTGAAGATTTTAGGGAAAAAAAAAAAGAAAAAAAGAGGACCAATGAAGGAGGAGGAGAAGGGAAAGAAAATGAGAGGAAATCATAAAAGTAAAATCCAATATGGTCTTTTTCTTTTCTTTTTTTTTTCTTTTTTTCCCTCCAAGGTTGGAAACCAGAATTATTTTTAGGAAAGTGACCATTATTTGATACTTGAATAAAGGAAAAAAATGCATTGGAAGAAGATATATGCACCCCAATTTGCATCAACATCACTGAAAATGAAAATAGTGTTGGAAGTGTCCTTTATATGAAAATTTTGATTAAAAAAAATATCCATGAAAAATATCAATTGAATGAATATTCTTTACCAGTGCATAGTACAATGAATTTAAGTACCTATGTCCGATTAAAAGGTCGTGAGTTCATATCTTCATCCCACGTATTATAATAAAAAAAATAATCTTAATGAATAGGTATTTTCACTTTTTCTTATTATTGGTATTTATAATCATATATTTTGTTATCATGTATCTTAACAATGAATAAACTACCACTGATCAACTCAAAAGTTTAAACTGATGAGTTTGATAAATTTAACTCATTTATGGATATCTAACCAAGTATTATATTTCACAATATTTTTATAATATAATGAAAATATTGATGAAACTACTTGTGCCACTATTGAAAGCTTAGATATATATATGAAAATATCAATGAAAATATCAACATGTCAACGTCATTTAATTTCCCATGAAGCAAGACAGTTAGTTGTATGTGTTTGAGAAGGGGAACAAAATATTTACAATGTGTAGTCGAAAAGTTTTAAATTTATATAACTAATATATAGTGATTAAGGTGTTTGGTTAAATTTTATGAGGTTGTGATTTGTAAATAAAAAAAAAGTTTTAAAAGTCTCTGTAGCTTAATTATGAATTATACAGCAAGCTCTTAGTTTGACCTTTCAACCCAATATTATATAAAAATCTTAACTATATTTATCCCCTCCAAATCTTTTCTTAAACCATCGTTAAAAAATTTGTATGGTAGATATTAAAACTTTAATTCAACTATTTGTTTGATTGTGATGTGTATTATTTCTCACATTAAAAATTGTGATATATATGTATTCTGTACGTGTGTGGGAAAAATAAAAGAAAAATAAGGACAACTTGATATGGGGCGTCCCGCTAAAATAAAGATGTCAAGGATCCCACATTTTATTTAAATGGATCTTACAAAAGTTTATAATAAGCAGCTAATTCTCTGATTGCCGATTGATTTTGAGATTGAATAATCTTATGAATATTGATAAAGGAAGATAGAAAAGCCACTAATAAGAGAGTTTGACTAATTTTATCTCACTTATGTAACTAGATTTTTCTTTGTTTTTATTATTATTTTTTTCAATCTAAGCTTAGTTAGCGGTAAATGACATCATTTTCTTCGAAGTTAGAGGTTTAAATTCTCGTACTCGACTTGTTGTACTAAAAGCTAAACTTTCCACTTCAAAAAAAGTAGCGAACGTCCTATCCACTGGGTTATATTCGGATTTGACTCGTTTTAAGTATTTAATATTTTCTGTGTTATTTTAACTAAAACTAAGATAAATGATATAATTATATATAAGTTTTGGTATATATGAGTAATTATAAAAGTACAATAAAAAAAATTAATGACATAGAAGATTAAAAATATAGTATTATTTGTAATAACATTTTGGGCACAGATTAATTACTATGCTCTGCCAAAATGTTGTAATGCTAAAAGTAGAGGCAAATTCTCAACAGTGAAAACTTTTTTATCTTCCTCCCAATTAATTTTGTGTGTGAAAATTGCAATAAAATAGTGATATAAATATTCCTTGCTTGAGTTTTGTGGAACTTTACCCAATCATATTGATCCAATCAAAGTTAAGGATTTAAAGTAAAGGAAGAAAAGAATGTCACAACACACTACGGCACGTATTTTGTTTAGAGAGAATAATTATATACTCTTAATCTTAAATTATAAGTTATTAAATATATATAGATTGGGCTACGCTGAAAGATATTAAGGAACACGATGATGACTTTTAAAAGTTTAGAATTTAATTTTGAGTAGGTCAAATTGAAATTAGTAGCGTAAGATCGAGAGGTTGAAGATGTAAATATTCACGAACCAAATACTATATGATATTCCTACAGTATTAGAAAGGAGCCATCGAGGAAAATTTGTGTTCCATAAGATAGAGAAACAAAAAGAAATGATTCCTCTTGCAAACTTATTCTAGTCGCGTTTACGGCTTTGCTTTTGGTTTTATTTAAAATGTCTCGTATATGACGAACAAGAGGATTAAAGATTCTCGAAGGATGATATTGAAATCTTACTAGAAAAAGAAAGACGGAAAAAAAAATTTAATTTAATTTTGCAGTGAAAGTTGCGGATCTCTTCGCCCCCCTCTCCCGACTCAGTCACATGCAACCAGGCTTGAAACCCGGCCCACTCTCCCTTCTGTGCCCCCAGACCAAAAAAAAGTATGGTCTTTCTGAGAAGAAAGAAGAGCATATCTACCTTGAAGACCTTCTGGAAAGTCGCCTATGGAAAGAGCATACCCAACCAATATGAGCCTGTCCGAGACTGGTCATTCCCATGGAAGAGAGTTTCCCTGCGTATTAATCAATAACATTTCATTTGGCATTAGTTTAATTAAAGAATTAGTTTGTATCAATAATCCCGGAGTTTCATCTCAAAATCAATTCTCTACAAGAGAAGTAGCCCACTTATATAATAAATGTGGAATCATTGACATGCCCCATCAAAATTGATGCCTCTTTTGGGTTCACTAATCTTGACCAGATTCTATTTTTTGAGTGGATGTTCGTTTGAGCTTTTGGATTATGATACCATATCAATATTCGTGGGTTACATCTCAAAACTAATTGACTATGAATGGAGTAGCCCACTTATATTATAAACATAGGATCCTTAACAATTTGATCGTAAACGATCATACTAAGTAAACACATACAAAATTTACTTACAAAGTATTAAAAATAGGTTTTTTATTTGTTAGAAATAAAATACACTTTAAAAGGCAAAAAAAAAAAAGTTTGATTAAGTTCAGTAACTACCGTTTTGAAGTTATTATCTCCTCTCTTTTTTTAATTCGTTTTTATGTATGTTAGGTCAATTGTCATTTTCAGAAATCTAAATAATTCTAAAAAAAATTCTCTCTTAAGGTAGATGAGGACGTTCTCTCCTAAGTACAAAAAAGTATCGTTGAATAAATATACCATAGTTGGTATAGAATCAGTGGCCAACATAATTTCAATATCGACAGAAAGAGATTAAGAATCAAACAAGATTAGTGTTAAAATAATTTTACAAGTACTTAAACAACCCTATATTATTATGATTAGGTTTGATTAGGAAATGGCATTATGCACACACATAATTGCCTAAATTTGACTCCTTCCATCATACAGTGGGTGAACCAAACACCCTAACACTTCTTAACATTTTCCCTAGAAACAAACAGAAAATAACTATATTAAAATAAATCTAAATAAAATTTTTCTTTTCTTTGGGAGCTCTATCATGTGTTTGGCTGTATCTGGATTGTTGGACTGACTTTGACATGGGCCATTAAACTTCAAAAAAAAAATATTTTTTAAAAGAAAAAAGAAAATTTTAATATCGTAGTTTCAAAAGGTAACCTTCATATATTAAGAAGAAAAATAAAATACACAATTTGGTCCCTATTATTTTTCAGCTTTGTCTTTATTGTTATCTTCAAAACGATTTAAAAAGAAAAGGACTATTTAATTTCTACTAAAAAAAAGTTGTTGAATTCGAATAAATAAATGGTAGTGGAATAATTAAAATTATTACGCTGTTTATGATTTTAATCTATTGAATGTTAAATATCTTGTCTTATCCGGTTAAAATTTTCTAAGATTTAAATTTCTTTTTGGTATATTAACTTTGGACGTTAAATATTCAAGATTCAAATATTTAATTTTTATGTTAAATGCAATTGAACTATAGACTAACAAAATTTAATATTGTTTTCAACAATTATAAAAATGAATCAACCATTAATATTTAGACTGATTATCGATGGAACTATGTTCGGATGGACAATTTAAATTATTATTATTATTATTTTGAGAAAAACAGTTTAAATTATTTTCAATCAAACAGAATAAGTTAGATTTTTTTAATGGAATGAAGCAAGAAGGATGTTATGTTATCACGTGATTTGGCTGTATTCGAAATCGTTGGACCGACTTTGACATGCGGCATTAAACAAAATTAAATTTTATAAATTTAAAAAAAAAAACAGAAAAAGAAGAAGAAGTCTAATATGGTAATAGATGACACGTCATATATTTTTATTTTATTATTATTTTTTTAATTTTTTAGAAGGGGTGTTTGGTGAATGATGTGGGCGACAGGAGTCAGAAAATCTGGGATTTTTGGTCAACAAATTTAACGGTATGATGCGCAAGACAACTATTTTGTGGGCCCCCCTCTCGCTTTGCTTTAATTTCATTGTAATACGCCCATTTGCATAGCTCGGCGCGTGTTCTACACTCTCCAACAATGTATTTGCCAATCTGGATAAGTACGTGTTCAAATTTCTGACCTCTTAATCGATGATATGTATTTTAATTAATTGAATTATATTTGACATTTGGTTAATCTAGAAACTATAGTATCAATAGAGCATAATAGAGATAAAAAAGTGTTTCGTCCCACCTTAAAATTTAGGGGTTTGGGAACGAGTCCAAAGATTATCGATCGGGATTAGATTCTCCATGGAAAAAATGTATTGGTATTTATTTTTTTTAAACTAAATATTAAATAATTAAATAAAACATACATTAAAAATTAGAAAATTTTACTAACTTATTTATTGCTGTTAATCATCCATTTTATACAAATAATTAATCATTTTTAGTAATTTATTAAAATAATTATAAAATAAATTACTTCGAGGATGAAAATAGGAGGAACGCCTAAAGGCAAGGAATACATTTTCTATCCCTTAAATTAGATGGAGAAAAAGATTTCCAATTTATCTTTGTAAAGAAAACTAACAACTGAGATTAATTTACTAATTTAGTTACCGCTAATGTTTAAAAGTTCTATAAAATTTAAAAAGATATTTAATAAAGTTTATTAAATATATATACACATTTCAATTCGCTAACCGATTAATACCAAATTTTAATTTTAGGTCTAATTTGACGTCTTTCAATTTTGTGTCTATTATGTCCCTTGGAGTTTAATAACCTTGAGTAATTAAACTTGTAGATTAACCTTAACTTTGTGATTTAATGTTACATGATTTTTGTTTTATTTGTGTAATACTTCAAGTTATATGATAAAAGATTTTTTTTAATATATATTATGTTTTATATTTGGATCTTTTTAAGAACAAATAGTATTGTTGAGTTGCTATTTACTACTTGAATCTATATGATTATTTAATCTCTAAATTTTCTATTTTCAAAAATAATTTTACGACATTAATTAACCAAATCAACTCGAGCATAACCCCTTAATAGTAGGGCTAGTTCAAATTTAAAAGGAAAAAAAAGGTTGGTTCAATTTTTTTTCATTAATTCAAAGAAAATCATGCATGTCACAAAAGGAAAAAAAAAATCCAAATATGAAAGTAAGACACACATATTTGCTCTTAAAATATCGACCTATATTTTAAGATGATGGTAAAGAAATACAGTTCCAACGAAAGTAAGACAACAAATAGTCACTAAGATCCAATTTGGTTACGTTACTCTTAGAAATTTGAACATTTTGCAAATTTTATTTATTGTTTCTCCTTTTTTTGGAACATTCTCACCGTTGTATAGAAAGTTTGGAAACAACCAAAACAAGCTTCTTCCTTCTTGTTCTCATTTCTAATGTGTTGTCCAAAACATAAATAAAAAGATTGTTTATCATATTTGAACTTTTGGCTATTTGAGTCGTGCAATTCATTTTTCTTCATTAAAAATGAAAAAATAGAATAATCGAAACGTTACGTTGACAACCAAACATGCAAGCATATTTTTTCTTAGTACAACATATTTGAGTGGGATTCGAACTTATGACCTTACATTTGAAACTTAGGCATAAGGGAAAAAAACATTAAATGCCGGAAAATAAATTAGTTAGACAAAAAAAAAACCCAAGAATTAAGAAAGGAAAGGAGGTGAGAGAAAGAAAGTGGGGTAATTGTGATTATTTTTTCTTCTACCTTCTTATTTCTCTAGCTTTTTTTTTTTTTCCTTTCCTCTTATTTCTCTAGCCTTTTTTTGTTCTCCTTTCCTCTGTTTTCAATTTTTATTTTCAAATCTAATAAAATCTGTCAAAATTTTTGAAACTTATAAAAGAAAAATTACAAGAGAATTAATGAGAATCTCTTGATTTTTGTTTTCGATTAGTCTAATATGTAAAACATTTAACTTTTTTATTGTATAAATGCCCAAATCTAATTTTAAAAAAAAACCAAGATTTGATCAATCTCGGACTAAGATTACATAAATACTCGAGATTTAATCAACAAAAGAGAAAATAAATGCTCAAATCTTAAAAAGAAAAAAGAAAAAAACTTGGAATTGCATGAATCCGGGCCCAAGATAGCACAATTCGGACCGGGATTTCATTTTTATACTATCTCGGTCCGGGATTGTGCAATCCCGACCCAGCATAGCATGCGATTCTTTTTTTTTTTTTTAATATTTGGCAATGTAATCTTTGTTCTCGATCATTTATGCAATTTTGGTTCCAAAATTCATGAAATCTTGATTTTTTAGTTAAATTTCGGACATTTATGTAATCTTGGTTTATCCAAATTTGATTTTCAACCTTTGAAATTAAAAGGTTAGATTTTTTTCTATTAGATTCGTAATCAATTTTTCAAATTAAAAAGTTAAGATTATTTTCCAATTCCTAATTGATTTTTATAATTTTTATAATTTTGATTTTTTAGATTTCTCATTGATTCTTTAAATTAAAAATTTGAGATCTTTTCTAGATTCAAATTGGGATGAGAGTGTGAGGTTAATGGAAGAAAGAAGATCAGAGAGAATTTTAATTTTTTGAAAATGAAGATATTTTAATAATTTTACATAGGACAGAGTAAAAATGGATAAAAAAAATTAGATAAATAAGAATCAAAAGTTACATTTCTTTCTCTCACATAAAATTAGTTAGACAGCAAAAAAGGGAAGTGGAGGACACGGCAAAGAAAAGCGCGTGATTGGAGGAAAAGAAAGGCGGTCGGGTGACTCAGCTCCTCCTTTCGGCTTTAGAGTAATGAACGATGATGATGATGTTGATGATGGCATGCATGTATGTTACATCTATGTGTGTATGACGATGGAGAATATTTAATTAATTAATTAATTATTATTATTTATTTTTTGGCAAAGGTGAATATTGAATTATTCTTTCCTTGCTTCGTCACTCCACCGCCCCTTCCTTCCCTAAATACTCATCCCCACCGAAACAAATCTTTTCTTTTAAAATTAACAAATTTATTAAATACAAAATACAAAGTTTTTTACAATATGGTCTAAACTTGGAATTTAGCATTAATTTTAATTTAAAGTTCCCCCATTTTCTGGCGTTTTTATTTTTCGCTGGTACGAATTTGCAAAATCCGAAGCTAAATAAGAAGGAAGAGAAGCCATAATCTGTCTGAGAGAAAAGAAGGTTCTGATCGTGTTCCTGGTCTTGATAGCAAACCAAATCTTTCTGTCTTCATTCTCTCCTTACACATTTTGTCTTCCTTTACTCTTCCAACAATTGAATTCCAGGTGCCAATTCCCCTCTCGTTCTTTCTTCTCTTTGATTCTTTTCAATTCCGTGTTTGTTTGTTGCTTTTCTTGCCTCTTCCTTTGCTGGGTGTTCTGTAACTGCTTCGGTTTTGTGTGATTTTGTGTGGAACTGTGTGTAGTGAAGTGGGTCGGTTTGGTTTGGTTTGCTTCTGTGTCTTTCTCTTCTGATGAGAATTTGTCTCTGCCTTGAATGATTGTTTTGTTGTTCGGTTCTGCCGCGTAATCCGTCTGCCGCTAGAATTTAGGGTTCGTCCCCGATTGGGTGGCATTGGGTATTAGTGAATTCTCTTGTTTCTATGTTTTCGTGCTGCAGATTCTTTTTTGTTTCTTTGCTTCTGGCATCTTTTGGGTGTTGATTGTAGTTTTTTTTTTTTTGGGGTTATGTATGTTGATTGTAGTTGGGTATATAACTTGTAGGAAAGGCAAATTAGGGTTCTGAACGTTATGTGAAATGAATTCGTCCGGATTGTGTTCTTTATTATGTGCTGATTGCTGAAGCATATTTTCTTTTAGGGCTTCATTTTGCCCGTTGCGAATTCAAGCTCAGAGAATGCATGTAATAACACTTTAACTGGTGGTGCCATGGTAAAACAGGTATGGGGTGATCTTAATTCTTCAAGCTTTTAACCAGAGGGATAAAATTGGACAATTGGATGACGAGTGCTTGATTCTTTTGAAAATAATAGTTCTGGCACTCAGCTTTCTGTTATTATTGTTTTAAACTTTGCTTTCGTGTTATGCAGTATTGTGGGAATTTCTCTTTGCCATGGACATTGCGAATTGACAGAAATGTATCAGATGGCAACTGTACTGTAGCATGAGGGCAGTTTATGATATTATAATTCCAAGGTTTTACATGTTAAAACAAGGAACTAGTATAACTCATGTGGTTCCTTGTTTATAGAAGCAAAGAAATTGCTAGAAAATTGTAGCTAATGCCGCTGTTGGCTTAGTTTGGCTCAAGATTTGGAATAATAATTGAATTCAGGGAAATTCATTTACATGGGTAATAAGCTTGGAAGAAGGAGACAGATGGTTGATGAGAAGTACACAAGGCCTCAGGGGCTTTACAACCATAAAGAAGTGGATCATAAGAAACTTAGAAAACTCATACTTGAATCAAAGCTGGCTCCATGTTATCCTGGAGATGAGGAATGCGCCTCTGATCTCGAAGAATGCCCCATTTGCTTTCTGGTTTGTCATCACTCTTGGATCTTGAAAGGCTCTGTCTTTTCCTATATATTGATGGTTTTGTCTTATTCATATTTTTCCTTGTTGCTTCATTGGTTGTAGTGGATTAAAATATTAAATGTCTACAAAGTGTTAGGACATATCTTCTGTTTTCACTCTTTGTTAATATCTATCATTTTTCTTATTTTCATCTATATTTTTTTATGTGTAACCTTTTCTTCTTCTCCCCTCTGTTTCAGTATTATCCAAGTCTCAATCGATCAAGATGTTGCATGAAAAGCATTTGTACAGGTACATATAATCGGATGAATTTATAAATGATTTATGTTATAATTTTATCTAGTCTGATTTTCCTTCTTTTCCAGAGTGTTTTCTACAGATGAAAGTTCCAAATTCTACCCGGCCTACACAGTATCCTTCACCACGGATGTCAAGCCTTCTTATTTCTTAATAACGCTCCTTTTAATTTTAAAGATTTACCTCATCACTAGCGTGCATGTATACCTTAACGTGAGGAGATGTCCTTTTTGCAAAACTTCAAATTATGCTGTGGAGTATCGAGGTGTGAAATCAAAAGAAGAGAAGAGTTTGGAGCAAATTGTAAGACTTGATAATGTCATATTTGGTATTGTGTTTTACTGGAACTGGGCATCTTGTGCTGCTGTCCACAATTGAATGCCATTCATTAAACAACATTTATTAAAATTTACTAGGAAGAACAGCGTGTTATAGAAGCAAAAATTAGAATGCGGCAGCAGGAACTTCAGGATGATGAGGAGAGAATGCAGAAAAGACATGAATTAAGCACCTCTAATGCAGATATGACTGTGGAAGATGTTGAATACAGCTCTGCAGCTGGTAGGATTTTACTGATTCAGGTGTTTTTTTTATTTTGAATTTTTTCTTTCTGGCTGTTGAACAATATTTATCATCATTTTGTGTGCTTCGTTTTGGCAGTTCCATCTTCTCAGTCACCTGCCGAAGATGAGGAAATAGTTGGCTTGCCAGATTCTTGTATGACCCCGATCAGACCGCCTCCACCTCCTATACCTATTAGGAGCAACAGGTTCTTTTCGTTCTGACTGTGCTTCTGTTCATTAATGTACAGGTTTGCCAGGGTTACCTTTCATTGGTACTTGTTCTGCTATCGATGTTCTTCACTAATACAAATTGAATTATCAGGCTAGCGAGGGAATCCTTTATATATATATATATATTCTCGTTCTTTGCCATTAATTGTGCATACATGAGCACACGTCGGTTTGTTTTGCTTCAAAAAAGTTTCTGCAAATATTCAATGTCTTTCTCTCTCTCAAAATTAAAAGTCATTTTGAATGATCTTCATTGTTTAATTTAACTAGTTTGAACTCTTCTGATTAATTTTCTACCGAACATTGATCTCCTATGAATTGCAACAAATACTTGGTGGATAATTTCCTTACCTACTTTTTGGACACAGAACAAATTATATAGCTCAGAGTGATGTAAAAAATTCTCCACATGTTCAAGGTATTAACTTGTAATGACCACTTGTTGCTCCACCTCTCTCTCACATGTGGGAAGGGAGTCTAGATATCCACCCAGGCATCCACCCAGGCAACTGGGAGAATTACAAAGAAAGCTCTCCAATTTTTACTGGAGTAAAAAAAAGGAATGATAGTAAGTGATACCTACCTCGCCCTTATTACCCCCAGATCTTACAAAAGCTTATTTTTCATTTCAAACTTCCCCAAATGTTAACAAAGGAGAGAAGTTCCATAAAGTTTTGGCCTTTTTCTTGAAAGGGTGGCCAAGGGCCAGGATTTAAGAGAAGTAGTCGTAGACCATAGACTGCCCAATGTTGAAAAGATGAAGAATTTCATATGTGAGCTACTTTCTTCTGGGGAAGGAGCTCTGTGTTGGATAAGGAGATAGAAGAGATTGTTTCATTTTTGCAAAGCTCTGTGCCAATAGTGGAGGGCTTTTGAGTGGTAAGAACAAATGCAATATCAATCACTTGCAATTTGCAAATAACCTGACCGTTTAGTGCTGATGGTGGGGAAAAACAACAGAATTCAAAGGATATTCTGAGATTTTTGAAAGGCTTTGAGCATCGGGATCAACGTGACTAAATCTATGCTAGTAGCAATTATTACTGATTAGTGGGACTTGCATGACCTAGTTACTAGACTCTTGCTCTTGGGGTTCCTGGCTAGTTATCTATTTTGGTGTTTCTTTGGAAGGAAACGTCACCGCCAAACAGTTCTGGAGTCTAGTAAAAGAAAGGACTTTGGCAAACTTTATTAGGCCAGTAGGTGCACAGTTGATTCTAGTTCAATCTATTCTATTCGCCTTCCTTATTTCCTTTCATTTTCAATTGTCTGGTTAACTTTTTGAACTAGAATCAACTAGATAGAGAAAGGATTATCTTTTAGCTAGTTTGGTTAAATTTCATTTTCAATAGTGTGGCTGATGATCCCACTCTTATTCATGAGCATTCTGAATTGATCCATCTTCACAATTATATTTGACCAATGTATCTCTTCTCTCCTTTGAAGAAATCTCCAAATCCATTTCAAGAAAAGGTGTGCTTCCAAAGTTTACAACGCCAAGACCACCATTATAAGGGGAAAGGTAATGATACTTCAATTAACAAGATCGTATATTCTGACCACTAAGAAAATTTCCCAGAGTATCATTTCCCTTCCCCTAATAATGGTGGTCTTGGCCCTGTAAACTTTGGAAGCACACCGTTTCTTGAAATGGATTTTTGGTGATTTCTTTGAAGGAGAGAAGAGATGCCTTGGTGAAACTGAAATATAATTGTGAGGGTCGGTCAATTCAGAATGTTCATGAATAAGAGTTGTCTCATTAGCGGAAGAAATCCCTGGGGTTCCATAGGAAAGCAGAAGCAGCAAGTTGAGCGGTTTTCTTCTTTTGAGACTGGCTGCAGCGACAAGATTGTCAGAGGGCTCCTGGATTAGTAAGGAGCCGCTGAGGAAGTTTTTCTAAGATATAAGTGGTGGCTGGAATGATGCAGAAAGTACGGGGAACTCCCTATTAGGAAAATTTTGATCGATCAAGAGGCTTTCGAGTGGGCTGACTGTATGAATTTCCTTCAGATTTTCCAACTGAAATAACCAAGGGATTTTAGAAGATGCAGTCTTCAGAACTCTAGCCTATACACAGTGCAAGTGTATGTCATACCAGTTGACAGGTACACGTATTGTTTCACATAACAATCTGATTAAAGCTGTTTGGAAGTATAAATGTCCAAAGAATGATAAAATTATTCATGTCGAAAAACTTAAAAGGATGTATCGTTTCTCTTATTTGTTTCTTAGTTGATGCATTCTGCGTAGGAGGAAGCAGATGACCAGGCCCACATCCATTCTGTGCCCCTACTCTAATTATTATTGGAGGAATATTTTGGCTTTTTGTGGAATGCGCTGATGCTTCCATAAACAAATTCAACAAGGTCTGCCTTCTGGTCACAGGTTTGAAGGAAAAGCCATGGTTCTGCAGTCCAATGCAGTGAAAGCATTGTTGTGATAGAGCAGTCCCATCCTCGTTACTGTTAATACTTTTTTTTATAGGAAACAATTTTATTGATGTATGAAATTTAACAAAAGCTAAACGACTATCCAACGAAGTTACAAGAAGCTTCTCCAATTGGATATAAGAGTGTTCAAGTTATAACTGTTGAAAGGAGCAACATTTTTACACCAAGTAGTAGCCAAAAAAGATATAGACTCGATCAAGTGTTGTTGAGAGTGTCGTTCTCCTCAAAAAAGCCTTGAATTTCTCTCTCCAAATGGCCCAGATGAAAGCTATGCTGATTTGCAGCCAAAGGGTAGCCTTTTCACACTTGAAGAGATGATAAATGAGTGTTGATGTTAACCAGTCCCTTATATTGTTCAGAGTGATGAGATTCCATCCAAAGATAGACAAAAAATGCTTCCAAACCTTGGTGGAGAAGGGACAAACTAGGAAGATATATGAATTTGCGTTTTACAGTCCATCTTACATAAGCAGCACCATGAGGGGGATAAAGGCCACCATGGGGATCTTCTTTGCAGCTTGTCGAAAGAGTTGTGCCACGAGTGGCTTAGTTCCCAAATAAGAAATTTGAGCTTTATTGGCAGGATGCTTTCCAAATAGCTTTGTACATCTGATGTGGGGAGAATCAGATTTGTTGTTGATGATGAAGTCCGTCACTTAACAGAAAAGTTCCCATGTTTCTCTAGGTTCCAAAGCCAAATATCATCAGAGTTTGATGGGTAGAATGGGGATAATAAAGATGATAATGATGTTGATGCCCATTCTTGAATTTCCTCCTCCTTGAGGTTTCTTCTGAAGTTCATGTTCCACACCCTTGAATGGTCGTGCCATAAATCAGCCACAGTAGCTTTTTCTACTTTTTGCCAGAGAGAAAAGAAGGGGGTATACTCTCATCAACAGTCTTCTGTCCATTCCACGAATCAGTCCAGAAAAGAGTTGTTTGTCTATTTCCAACTTTGCATGAATGTTAGAATAAATGAATTCTTCCTGTCAGTGGATAAACTTCCACGGATCCCTTGCTGTTTGTAGAGATACATCATCCGGTTTTAGGTTGAAGTGCTTTATTCTGTATTTGGCAGCAATCGTCTTCCTCCATAAAGCCTCTTTTTTGTTATGGAAACGCCATATCTATTTTGCAAGAAGAGCTTGTTTCTAATTTTCAAGTCGGTGATGCCTAAACCCCCTTCAAGAAGAGGGAGTTTAATCAAGTCCAATTAGTACTTTTCTTTATTACCAGCCCATAGGTATTTCGGAAAGAGTCTTGGGTGGCTGCCACCTGGTTGGTAAGTGGAAAAGAGATATATAGTGTATATCGGAAGATTTGCAAGGGTGAATAAGAGTATGCCTACCTCCTTTGGAAATGTGTGAATGGCCCCAACTCTGTAATCTTCTCTATTTTTTGGATAATAGGCCCCAGCTTTGTCACCATTAATACTTCATTGGGAGATTTGTTCTTTATTCGGATGTTTTGTTTTCTTTTCACTCCTTCAGAAGTTTGTATTTCTAAACATTTTATATCTTCTCATCTATCAATGAAAATCCTGTTTCTGGTTTTAAAAAATTATTAAAATTTTGTTGTTTTAGCTAATAACAAGCCTCTTTTTTTTATTTTTTATTTTTTTTATTGGAATTGAAAAAAGTCACTTCGAGAATAGTTTGATTTTGACCTATAACCAGACTCAATCGTTGCAGTACTTTCGAATCAAGATCAATTATTATTATTATTTGGTTGTAGAACAGATGATTTCGAAAAATTTTCATTAACGCTTTTGGAAGACATTCTCTTTTGGGCATACGAGGGTATGTGAGATGAGAGTACCTATGCCCCAAGTCAGATTTTTAAATCCTAATTTTTTATTTATTTCCAGATGAATTTGATTTTTGGTGTTCTGTTGGTATATTGTGATCGATTGAGTTTTTTAGTGTATAATTTGATAGACATCATTATATGGTACATTATGAGATGGTTTTTCACACAGGCAGCTAATAAATGTCCCATTTAGAAATTTCAGGGATGATGAATTTGACCTGGATCTTGAGGACATAATGGTCATGGAAGCAATCTGGCTCTCGATTCAGGTAAATAGCTCATTAACGTATGGTAGAAAAACTATTCTTCTTTTTTTCTTTCCCCTGATGTGGAAATCTACTTGGTGAAAGATATCCTAAACCTTTGGTAGCATTCTCATCCCCAGTGTTTTTAATGGCATGAGTGACCTTATAATACAATAAGGATTCTTTTAAAAATGGGGTTTCGATTTTCACCAATGATCAACAGTTATAACTGAAGATGATTCATAGCTCTCTTTAGGTCTGCATCCAAGGAGTTTTGTGACTATCCCTTCTGTTATGCTCAACAACTTATACCTCATTTTGTAATCCCTAGTTTGCTTCCGATGTACGGGAGCCTTTTCGAGTACACTGTTCTTTTGTATTGAAGTTTGTATTCTTTCATATTTTGGCAATACAAAAAATTAAAAAACCCACTATCTATTAGAGGAACCTATACAAAAAAATAGGATGGCCACCATGAAAGTAGCTGCTTCCACACATTCTTTGTATTTTTTCGTTCGGTTTTCTTATAAAAAAATGTCCGAGGATGATTCATGATGAACTTTGGGACACTAACTTTCCACAATGATGTCTTGATGAATTTTAACATCTATTATAGTCTGTTGAATCTGAAAATTTATGACATTCTCCAGTCAGTCTAGGTTTTTTTTTGGAATTGGATGGTTCACTATAATTGCAAAATACACCATCAAAGTTCCCCAGCTTTGACAAAATTCAAAGATGATTCCTCCTCCTCCCGCCTCCCTCCTCCCTCCCTGACCCATTCCTTGGATTCATCTACAATGATCGTCTTTTTTTTTCCTCTTTTTATATCTTTAGTGTGGGGGAAAAGCTTTCGTGTGCATTTACCTAATTACATAGAGCATCTACTTAAGCCTACGACATCTGAATTTTAAAAAGTCGTAATATATATATTTGTTGTAATTAATTGCAGAACCCCCATAAAGAGACTATCATAACGATAATATACCAAATCCCTCACCATCCCTACATGCATTGAGGACTATTTTCTCTCACGCTTGACTTCCAAAGGATTGATCATATAGCATTTCACCGAAGAGCTTTTGATTTTCCTTATATGCTAATATCCATCCCACACCAATCCAAGCCCCTTTGATTCAGCAACAAGATATGGTTATGAAATAGTCTTTTGTTCAGCTTTCCTGATCTTGATGGTTGTTAGGCTTTATAGCAGACTTGCCTTGTGAAGATAGGTAGCAGAGAGGAGACTTTAAGGTTGGCTTAACATGTTCAACCAGATTTGAGAAGGGAAGGGGCCATCCAAGGTGGGACGCATTTTCATTCGACATGCAGAGAAACTTACCCATGTGTTGTAGAGAATGGTTTTGATTTCCGTGTTGGATTTTATCATTCATGCTGATTCCACCAAGTTAAAGATCCAAAAGGAACACCTTAACTTAATTATCTAGACTACCAAAGTGCTTTGAAAATCTCTCTAGAAAAGGTTTCTTCGAAATACTCTGCGAGCTATATTTTGTCGACTAACTGCCAGATTATCTCTTTCCAGTTCTTTAAATCTTCTCTTTCTGAAAAATGGTCTTCCAACCTAACCTATTCATGAGTTGAGCCACGTGTACAATTCCACATCGTTGAAGTTTCTTCGAAAATTTAGCTTGACCAACCCAGCACAATTACTATGAAGTTCTTGTTCTTTGTAGTTTGGAATGACCTTGGCAGAAAAGATGGCAGCCAAGGGAGAATTAGCAAACCAAATATCACTTCTTAATTCTACCATCAAGATTTTCGATTTGTCTTTTTCATCAGTTGGCTGGATTATAGTTTTTATTAATTTTTATTATTTTTTTGTGGGGGTGGGATAGATTGCTGAACATTTCTATTGCTGCTCTAATTATTACATTGCATTTTATGTACATTTTTTCGTTTCCTAGTGTTTTTTTGTGCTTGATGTTCTTCCTCCTACTTTCACATTTGATTTGGCTGTTGGATGGTTCTGTTCATTATTACTCCTTTAAACAGAATAAAAATTGATATTTTCAGGAGAAAGGGAGGCACAAAGATCCAGTTTACACCGATGCTGCCTCGTCTGATCGATATGCTGCAACCGAAGGTCGATATGTCTCTCCAGCCACCATTCCATTAGCTGGAACATCATCGTCATCACCATCTGGTGGTCTGGCTTGTGCCATAGCTGCTCTTGCAGAGCAACAGCAGATGGGTAGGGGACCATCATCCGTTTGTGCAAATGGAGATTCATCAGTCTTCAATATGCTTCCTGGAACCACAGAATTCTACAACCGGATGAACACTGAAGTAGAAAATTATCCCACCGCACAAGTCCCGATTGACACGGAAAATTATCCAACTGCACAAGTCCCGATCGACACGGTACCGGATTGTAGGATGATCTTAACGCGAAATAATGGAGAGTGGAATATGGACAATCAATCAGAAGAAGCTGAAGCTGGGACAAGCTACCCGACCTCTGACTCGACTGAAAATGGTACCGAATGTGCTTTACCCACAACCAACGCAATTGAGGGTGGAAACCAAGCAGCATTACCCATTGTTCCTCAGAATTTTGAGGAGCAGATAATGCTGGCCATGGCTGTTTCGCTGGCTGAGGCTCGGGAAGTGTCTACTGGACCCGGGCATCCCTGGCAGCCGTGATTGTGATCATACTGAAACTCGAACATTATGTTTTAGCCAATAGCAAAGTAGCTGGCGGAGCATCGGTGGCGTAGCCAAGCTCTGAGCTAGGGATGCACACAAGGAGTGGCTTGGTGTCTGTTCAAAGGTGAAGGTAGCGACTTCCTCTCCCCGGATCCTCGGGCTGAAAAGGGGGAAAAGAAAAGAGGAAAAATGGAATACAAATTCTTTTAGTGAATTAAAATTTGCTGGTTCATTCAAGTTCTTGGTTGGCTATATTTCTTTTTTCCTCTTTATTATTGAAATCTTGTCTCATCATGTTTACCTCGTGGAAGTTTATAATCCTTTTAGTGCATCCTGTAATGTATGGTCTATATGTAAAGTATTTCTCTCTCGTTAGTCTTTACCACTCAATTAATGGAATTTCCATATCCATTATTCTTATAATCTCAAAGTTTATATTTTGTTTAATACAGTACGTGGGATGTGGGATGCATGCAGATTCGAACTCATGACTTTTCGTGAACGAACTTCATGATTTTCCACCGTACTTTCTCTATTTTCTCCTTGTTCTAACTCGTCACTGCATAAGAAACATGAACCAAATTAAAACTAAATTTAAATAATTAAAACTTTTTTCTAAAAAAAAATCATAATTTTAAATTTTGGAAAGAATATATGGTTTTGATTAAAAGGAAAATAGGATATTTATCCATTCAGTTGGTTTTAAAAAAGGAGTGGAGGAGGGTTCTTCATTGTGTCACTCAACTCAACTTTGTGCGAGTTTCGGCCATGGAAATGGTGAAGCTGTGGCTTCTATTGGCTCTCCTGATCGCTCCGAAGAAATCGGCCGGCGCCGAGTTTCCCCCAACCTGCAATCGTATCGAGTGCCCTAGCTTCGACGTCATCGAGACCGGCGATGGCTACGAGATTCGCCGCTACGATTCCGCGGTCTGGGCCTCCACCGCCCCCATTCAGGACATCTCTCTGCACGAGGCCACCAGACGAGGATTTCTGCAGTAAGAACTATCTTCATCTTCATCTTCCAAATTTCATTTCATGAATTTGTTCTACTGCGAATGCCATACTTGTAATTCTGATTGCATCTCTCATCTGTTCGGCTGGCTGTGGCTGGTGTGATAGATTAGATTTCTATAACTTCGAATAAGGCTATAGTAATTATTAAACCTTGCATTGCATCCGATTTGTTCTTGCTAACCTAATCCTAGTGTGAAACTAATTTTTCATTCAATCAGAGAATTGAAGAACACAGATTTGGTTAAATCAATCAAACTTAGGTGTTGTGGACTTTCTTGTACCTTTATTAATCTCCCAGACTCAATATAATCCTTGAAGCCTTTGATGCTACGGCTAACAAACTTACAAATTAAGCACACATTTGATTATTACTTGAAATGCAAACTTTTGTAACTCATTAAACTCTACGAGTTATGCCGCCAAGTTGAGCATATATCATATATTAAAAGATTGAAATCCCCACCTGATGTTTAACTAAAAAAAATTGGTTTAAAATACTATTGTGATCTTTTGGTTTATTTTGGTCCAACATACTATTTTGATCATTTTAAGTTTCGTTCATTTTGGTTTGAAAAAAATGTCTAACATACTATTTTGGTCATTTTAAGGTTCGTTCATTTTGGTTTGAAAATGTTTATTTTAGTCCATTGTTTTCAATTTTAATTCATTTCAATTTCTATCATTTTAAAATGTTTGTATGGGTTCATATTTTAAAACAATGACTATTTGTCTTAATTTACAAAAAAAAAAAAAAAAGCAAAAATTCTACCCATAATGAAATTTATTTAATATAAAATTATGGTTATTGTATTATAAAAAATGTATTGAAATTAGTGTTGTGCTAAAATTGTGATAGAAAAATGAGATTAAATAAAATTAATGGGCCAAAATAGGTAACCTTTAGAGTATAATGGGAACCAAATAAACAACTGGGCTTGAGTTTGGGCTTTAATGAATTTAAACTTGGGACCTGGGCTTGGGTTTTGGAGTTTTAACAAAATGAATTTAAGCCTCTTGACTCTCTTAATGGAATTCCAAACGAACTTGCTTCTGGGCCTGGCTGGGGTTTTAGGTTTGGGGCTTTAACAAAGTGAAATTCAACTTCTACGTTTGGGCTTGGGCTACTGGTTTTAACATAACAACGAGTGATTTTGTACCCATTACTGGATAAATATTTACAGATATGAACCAAAGATATTACAAAACTAGTCTATCTTCTTCCAGCCTAGTTTACTATTTTCACCCTCATTTTTTGCTCCAAATTGTAAAGATGCATCATATAAAAGTTTAGTTCGGGATTGATGTCTACTGTGTTTTTAGGGGGAAAAAAATTCTGTTGTAATATTAAGTAATTAGTGTTTGGTAAATTTCAATTTTTAACCCAAAAAAAAGTAGGTCACAGTGTTGAGGTTTTTCACAGAAGAGTAAATCATAAAGTGATTTATATAAATTAAAAAATAATCAAGTACCAAACATGTACGTATACAGTTAAAATTCTCTCGTAATTACTTTTAACCCGGCCGGGTGTAACTTATTAGCTGTTTGCACTCGAAAAAACATATTAGCTAGGTGTTAAGTATAATTGTTCCTGAGTCCCCGAGGTATTGGGACTTCAAGGAATATTTTTGAAGTCTTGGGTTTAAGTCACATAGAACGTAACTCCACCAAGCAATAACCTCTTGGGTATATACGAGTATGGGAACAGTGCGCATACCCCCGGGACGTCCATTAGGTAATTAAAAAAAAAAAAGAAAAAAGTATAATTGTTCCCGTTTACTTATGACTTTGATATTCACCTTACATTAAATGTATGATGCCTTCTTTTGTTTTCTTATTCTTTTTACACTTTATTTGACACATTACTTGCCATAAATGCTTAACATGTGTATTATACCTGCTACAATTGTTTGAGAAAAGATGGGATTTTTGTTGAACAACATTACATTACTTGTCCTAGATTATTCGATTACATTCAAGGAAAGAACAAGTACAATGAAAAGATAGAGATGACTGCTCCAGTGATTTCTGAGGTTTCTCCCAGTGATGGACCATTCTGTGCATCATCCTTTGTGGTTAGTTTCTATGTCCCCAAACTGAACCAAGCAGATCCACCTCCAGCCAAAGGGCTTCATGTTCAGCGATGGAAACCAACATATGTTGCAGTCAGACAGTTTAGCGGCTTCGTCGTCGATGCCAACATCGGAGCCGAGGCTGCTGCATTGGATGCCAGTCTCGTCGACACCAAGTGGGCTGCAGCCATCGCTAAGAGTCGCCGCGTCGAACATGCTTCAATTTATACTGTGGCTCAGTACAATTCTCCTTTTGAGTTCGACCATCGGGTGAATGAGATATGGTTCTTGTTTGACATTGAAGACATTGCTCAGGTTTAGAGATCATGTCATAGAATCTAGTGTTTAATACAAATTAAGGTTATGTATGTTGGTCGAACTTCCAAAGCTTTTGAATCGCTTGAATAAAATGTGCTACATGCATCCTCTTGTTATAAAGATAAATGTCTTTTTCTTTTTTAAGCATTAATTGACTCGATCTTTTAATTATTTATATTAACTATTACATTAATTGTTCAAACTAGTAAATAATACCGTTACTAATTTTGCCATATACAAGCATGTATAAAGAAGAATTCATAGTCGGAAATCTCTGATACCAACTTTGATTTTTAAAATCTAATAAAAAATCATAAGGGGTCGAAAACGAGGCCACGAGGGTGTATCTCTATCTTTACTCTTCCCCACTCCGTTGGCATCTCTGCTCTAAATACATTTGGAAAAAGAAATAAGAAAGAAGAAGAAGGCAACACGTTTTTGCGGCCGAAAATGAGGAGAAGAGAAGACCAAAGAAAATGAAGAAACAACGCGGAAACCTTTTTTACGCGGTTTGCGACCTCACCGTCTGTTTCCCTGGTCACTCCCTCCCTTGATTTTCCCCCCAAATTCCCTTCTCTCTCCTCTCTCCTCTCTCATAATAATTTGTTCATTATTCCTACAATCTACCATCATCCTCATCTTCTTATTTTTATCATCTTGTCATCCCATTGTCTCATACTATTTTTTCTTCTTTTCGAGGGTGTCAGGCTGCATTTCGACTAATCTTACGAGACAATCGTCCGATCCTATAATGTTGGAAAATGCATAAAAATTAATTCTTAAGATAGGTGGCCATCATGGAATTTGAACATATTCCCTTAGATTTTTTATTCACGCAACTCATCAATTTTTCGATCCAAAATGAAGAAAAGGAAAAAGAAAATAAAGAGAACTTCCTTTCGATTTACCCTAGCCCTTTTGGACTAATGAGCCACAATCCTCAAGATGATTTATTTAAAACTATTTTCAAGCTTATTGAATTAAAATGTCCCATTCAAACCTTGAAGTGCAAACTAGGAATCAAGTCCAAACTTTATCAATGCTATAAAATTAAAAAATGAACTAAGAAAAAGCATGGTCAAAGTTTTGAAGTACTAAAAAAAAGAGACTTTGAACACAACAAATCATTTGGTACAAGATTTAGGATTAAGATATAAAGATATTGTAGATGGAAAGTATATTTGTTTAAGTGGTTTGTGTTTAAGCACTTAATTGGTCACGTGAATAATGGATAGAGCCCCATGTTTTCATAGTTATCTCAAAGTATTAAAAATGCACTACGTTTTTTGGTTGACCAAAGTAGGCTTTTGGGGGGAAACCCCAAAACAAAGTCAAATTTGAGCTATGCCCCTAAAAAAATGCAAAGAGAGGAAGTTAGCTTTTTGACCCAAACCCAACTGCCAAAATCTTAAAAGAGAGAGAGACATTATATAAAATGAATATTGGACCACTCCAATGTCAATGTATGATACAAAGTTGAGAAAGTACATATAATTTAGACAATCTTGCGACCCCTTTACTATTGTTCGGACATCTCTATTTCTAAAATAGACATCTCGAGATACAAGAACAACGCTTCTTTTTTCAAAATAGGTAGATATCTCCAGCCACCAACAATGCTTCTTTTCAAACAATTCAACACGCTTAAAATAGACACCAGCAAGTTGTATATATTATTTCCACAACGCGTATTGAAAAGGTGAAAAAAAGAAATCCATTTTATTTTTTTTAATAGTAGAGACTTATTTCAACCCTTGTACATGATGCCCCTCTTGCAATTATAATATTACTCAAAAAAGTATCAAAACAATGGGTACACTTTTTGTATTATGAGGAAAGATAAAGAGTGTAATTACAAGGAAAGAGAAACTATGGTAAACAAGAGAGAGAGAGAAGAAAATCAAAGAACAAACCCACCTATCCAAACACCTAACCCCTAAGTTTGGAAGCTAAAAGAAAAGAGGGGGAAAAAACCCATTTTGGTAAAGAGAGATCAAAAAGAAGAAAGGAGTTGGAGCTCATGAAGAGAGAGTATCCATGATATTGTCGATATTTCCACCGATATTTCTATGAAATTGAGATATCGATATTTCCATCGACATCGATGTTTACAATCTGGAGGGTATATTTGAAAATAGAAAGAAAGGGAGGATTATGAGGCTGCAATTCTTTCAAAGTGCACAAGCCTGTTATCTGCCAACCTGGAATTGTAAGCTGATCTTTTGTACTCAAACCAAGTGAACTCTTTGTACAAACTTTCTTCTCCTTTCATAAGTGAAGGCAAAGGGGCTATCTTCTCACTCAATGGTGGCCCACCAAAGTATATCATTGAAATTCTTGACTTCAAGCTGTTTGTCAATACCCTATGCTTCACACTTTTGAATCTTCCATTAGTCATCACCTTCAAAAAACCAAAAAAGGTTCAATTTTTTTAGTATATATGAACAAAAAAAAAACCCTATATTTAAAATCAATAAAGTATGTGTTTTTAGATTAAACAATAATAGGGGACATCCAAGTTCATGTTATTGTGTGTACTTTTCAGTCTGATTCAAACATGTCTCGAAAATTGGCTGTATGAATAACCCTTTTGTTTCTTTGAATATCAGTCAATGTTTTAGTGTGGAAAATGCAAGTGTACATAGAAATAAATTTGTTCTTTTTAACCCACTTTTGACATAGGGCAAAAGTAAAACCCCAATGGAAAGAAACTGAAAATTTTTCTTGCCATTAAAAGAAAAAATGAAAAAACCCAAATTTTAGAAATTTTGATATTAGTCTAATGAAAGAGTGGGCTTTGTGGGAGATTTATCTAAACAGGAAGCCAGCTGACAGACATAAATCATGATTAAGATCATGTCTTGTCTATGGAGTTTTTAATAAATAAAAAACAGTACAAAGATTGGCAAACCAAGAGAGAGAGACATAAACA